GGGCTTAGAAGTGGCGCCTCTGGTCCGCCACCGCTGACGACTGCAGAACCTGCAGCAGATTCGGCAGCTAGTCGGAAGGAGTAAACGAGCCTTTAAACAGCTCGCATGCTATGGTAAACAACATCATAAACGAATCCGCGAATCTCAAAGGAACATGAAATACACGACGCGGAGGTCACGTGAGCATTGAGATTATCGGCACCACTTTCACACATAATAGCCAATATAACTCCGCGGCCGATACTCGGGCCAGGCCAAGGCACACGAAGAGATGTTATTGGTATCAAGTATGCACGAACGTATGTTTAATTCAAACTAGTAGTCTCTATAGCCCTGATGTTGCCTAGTCTCTAAAATACGACTTCCCCGCGAGCACTGTCATCAAAAGCCCTTCGAAAACTAACCAAGATTACGGCTTACCGCTGTCCATGATGGCGGAAGCCGAGCATAGCATATTGAGCAACACATTATGTACAGCCACAGCATACCGGTTGCAGCGTCTGCTGGAGGTGTACGGCAATGGTTCACTTCGCCACGGTAAACCATGCCCCATATTCTCCGAAGAAGTACGACGACGTTGTTTCTGAAGGGTAAAATGCGCAGGGCTGCTTCCACTTTTTAGCCATTGACTCTTGCTTGCTGATATTTAGAACAGCAGTCCGTTATGAAATTCTTATAGATTGACAAAATTTTTGTTGCAGCTCACAAGTCTGTAAAGAAGATGGATTTATACTACGCCCATCCCAAATCTCCCTACATCATCGAATCTAGCCTCGAAGATATTGAGATAACTAGCGTACCGATATGCGAAGTGGGCGGTCGCCGAGAAACTGTGGAGGACTACTTTAATCACCTAGTGAGCATTGGTACAATGTCCGAACAAGGATTACCGAAAGAAGCAATCGCCAGTGGAACAAAATATCGCCAGGGCAACGAAGCGCTTACTAAAATGCACGAATGGCGGCTGCCACCAGTGCCCCGCAAGTACAAGGCAGGCCATTCCAACATTGGTGCCGAATTGACTCATTGGGGCAAAGTGCATGAGGATATGCAACAAGCCATTAGAAACAACAAACGTTTCCATGACCCGCTGCCCATATATAAGGAGAATCATTTCAATTATAAATGAGTAAATAGTCTACATGTAGCACAACAACGCCCTTATTTAGCAATAATTTAGAGGTGTCATCTTCAGAAGTTGAGAGAAAGTAATAATTTGCCTTTCAGCGTAATTAGGAAAAATGCTTGTTTCACAGTCAATAAAAGTCTAAATGAAACAGCCACGTAATTTTGACTTAATATCTAATGTTGACGTCAAGCGTTGTTTACCGTGACGAAAGGAGACGGCGAAAATCCCGCCATCATTGCCTAACGTCACACTAATGGGGCACATAAATGACGGCAAGTGGCAGCGAGTCCGGGATGCCAAGGCACAAAGCGCCATATCTAAATCCGCATCATACTACAGAAAAAACAAATAATATATGCATATTATGTATATAATATATATACATATATAATACATATATATCTATATATATATATATATATATACATATATATATATATATATACATATATATATATATATATATATATATATTCTCTCTCTCTCTCTCTCTCTCTCTCTCTCTCTCTCTCTCTCTCTCTCTCTCTTCTCTCTCTCTCTCTCTCTCTCTCTCTCTCTCTCTCTCTCTATCTCTCTCTTCTCATATACATTTCCTATCTCTCTCTCTCTCTCTCTCTCTCTCTCATTATGTACGCATAATACATTTACAAGATACCACCACACATGATTATTGGCGCAGTTTTAGTTCCAAACGACAAGGTGCCTTGAAGACTTGCGGACAACCGAAGGCTGTTTGCGACTTTGCCCAGAACTCTTTTGGGACATAAGCGAGGGAGACGCCAACACTGCCGAGCTGTTCCACGACATGATTCTCACAGCAAAGACTCCAACCGACAATAGTACTTCGGCGCTACTTCTACTGGTGACACTCGCTGCGGCAGAAGTGCGGTGCAACAAAACTTGCAATCTGCAACCTATGGTAAGATATCTCTCTGCAATATATACATTAGTGCTACACGATAGAACTTGTGCTCCAAGAACTTATATAATTTTTACTTGTCTGCCAAAAAATCTTCAATTTTACTTAAACGCTTCAATATTTTTGCTCCCAATATATATATATATATATATATATATATATATATATATATATATATATTTATATAAACACTACATAAGTGGTACACGGTAAGCTTGATGTTTTAAAACGTATACCCGTCATTACTTCTACTACCAAGGTTAACACGCACCCGGATGGCGAGTTGAATACTCTTCGCTCGGGTGAGGGTCAATTTAACTCCCCTGAGACCAAAAAAAGGTGGCTAGAGACACCAAGTTCACAGGGTGGGTTGGCCTGCATGTGAACACACTTGTATCAAATTTTGTGGTTATTAGGTCACGTCCTTGGGGACAAATAATGTCAAACAGATCGAAATGTAGCTTGGTGTCTCAAGTACCCCCATATCTCCCCATGCAATTACCGTGGAGCTAGAACGAGCACTAGGTGCTCGTTTTGAACAAAATATCAGTGGCGTTCAGTTAAGGACAGCGACCTTGTTTGACCTACCTTTATCAGGTGAAAGAAGCCAGCTTTCAGCGGAATTGATTCCATTTTGCCATTGAAATACACATCATGGATTACGCTAAGCGGTATATTCCTTAAAACGGAATGTTGACGGGTCGCTTTAAGTCAGTGACTTACTCTGACCCTTAAAGAGTCTACGGAAGATGTCTTTTGCGGCCACTGTCATGATTAAATTCGAAATGAACACCAGAAACTACTCCATAAACCAATCTCGCGAATAGAAAGCTTTTGACCTCGGTCTGACCTTCATACATGACCCTAGGTATATGGAAACTGCCATAATCGTAGACGTAATTGGCTTATTGCCTAATAAACCATCTCAGATATGTGTTTCTCTGTTTAACACTCCGTTGCCGCATCGCATCGAACGATTCCCTACAAATGTCCTTCGCTGACAGCCATGGCCCGATTAACTTGCCATAGGTCAGGGACCTTGCAAGGTAAATCTATTTTTACATCAAAATATCTGTTACTCATTTCTCTACAGCCATACAAAGTTTGGTGCGGCTACACCGCGCCGTTCCGAAATCATTCTGGAAATACCTTCGGAGGGGTCAAATTGACCCCCACTCCCATCCGAGCGCGTATTAATGGTACCCTTATTTGCACGCGGCTTTAATTCCACTGGCAGTGCTTATAAGGGATATAAGCAAGTGCTACACGATGAAAGTATCCCTAAAAAAGCATTCATAACTCATTTACCTATACCTCTCACCTACCATACCTCTTGCCTACCTTATTACCTCCACTGCAACATCTCCTACGATTTTTTTAATATACGTGGCGTTACTTCTGTCGCAAAAATTGATGCGGGACATTATTTCCATGCGACCGAAGTCACGTTTCAAAAATAGTGCCCGTCAGTGTTTTCTTCAAAATCTTTGTGCGAGCCTACGCATGGGAACTATGCGATGTGCGAAATAAGGCCAGAGGTTGCCTCTTCACAAGCTCATTTCAAAATATTGAAATCCATTGGGCTTCATTCTAGTCGAAGATACGTGGCCAAGTCAATCCTGAATAATACACAGTGTTTATGGGATGAGACGAGACGAGACGAGACGAGACAAGACAAGACAGGACAAGACGAGACGAGTCGAGTCGGGACGAGATGAGACGAGACGAGACGAGACGAGACGAGACGAGACGAGACGAGACGAGACGAGACCGAGACGAGACGAGACGAGACAGAACAAGCAAGACAAGACAAGACAAAACAAGACGGGACGGGACGGGGCGGGACGGGACGAAGCAGAGCAGAACAGCGCGGAGCAAGGCAGGACAGGAAACAGCGGGGCATGACGGGCAAAAGAATAGCAAGCACGACGAAGCACAGAACAAGACGAAACAGCACTACCCTGAGGACGGTAAAAAGTATAGGACATGGAAGGCAAGAGGACGGAAAAGAGCAGGGCATGATACGATTGGCCTCATCTTGTTCTGTCTCTGTCTTTTGACCGATCATACCCCTGTCCCGTACCCACCATACGCTGCCCCGTGCCCTGAGTAATCTGTTCTCCGTCCTGTTGTGTTCTCTGCCGTGCGCTGTCCTCCGTTTCGCATCGTTCATCGTCCCATTGCGTCCCCTGTCTTGCATGGTCCTCTTTCCCCTCTGCCCTCTGTCATGAACAGCCTTCCATCTTGCCTTTTCATCGCCCCAGCCCTGTCCGATGTCCCTCCTTGTGCTACATGCTACCCTTACCCTGGGTCGGCGCAGAAAGCAGAGCTTCATTTTATTCGACCCACTGTCTCTTTTCAGCCCTGCCTGGACCTCTGTCCTCTTTCGGTCTGCAGTTGTCTTCCCTGACCTCTGCCCAAAATTTGTGCAGTCCTTTGGTTCGTCCTCTGTGATGTTTACTGGCTGCTTGGGCACGCCGACTGATGAGGCAGTATTACGACTTGGTCTGTTATCGATATTGTCTTCTTTTTTGTCCTCTATGCTAATCGCCGTGCTATCCCCCGTCCTGTCCGTAGCTCCGTCCCCTCCTATATTATGTATCCGGTCCTTTCCTCCCGCCTGTTGGTCGCACAATCAAAGGTATCAAAGGTTTCCAATTTAGCTCCATGCCATTCAGTGTAATGCTTTGTCTCTTGTTAAAAAAGAAGAAGCTTATGACGGGGTTTGCATATATATGGTTTGTTGGTTTATACATATACATATATGTATATATATATATATATATATATATATATATATATATGATATATATGCTCCTATATATATATATACTTATATATATACCTATATATATATATATATATGATATATATGCTCCTATATATATATATATACTTATATATACCTATATATATATATATATATATATATATATATATATATATATATATATATATGTGTATATATTCTGACATTGAAAACGAGACACAACGGCATATGACAAGACACTTTGACAGCAAACCAAGGCAAGACATCCAACCGACCGTCAAACTGTACTATCAAAATCAAATGACATCTGCTCACAAACAGGACGAAAAAGCTTTACGGGAAATTATCTCTCAACATGTTAAAGGCAAAAACGACCACAAAATAGACATTGTCATTTACTATTGTAATAAGAAAACATCGAACTTTCTTATGAGAAACAGCCCAGACAAACCCGACAAACTGAAATGCACCAATATAGTGTATCAATTCCAATGCAACATCGAAGGCTGCAAACTTCGTCCCATACGCTACATTGGTGTGACCACAACGACACTCTCACGACGCCTGACAATGCACTTACGTGACGGGGCACCTCTGGACCACATGCGACAGGAACACGACATGACATTGACACGACAACAACTGACAGACAGCACTGACATTTTATGGACGTGCAGTGACAGAAGACGCCTTCAAATTTGGGAAAGCATATTCATTAACGAACTCTCTCCGGCCTTAAACAGACAGACAAATTCTTGCAGAACTCTTGAGCTGCTAGGTGGTGGGCGGTGAGTACTTCTGATGTGATTGTGACAATAGTGTTCCCATTGTGTCTTTGTGATGTTCCCATTATGAGTGTTTCTTACATGTATGAAGATGAAAATAGCAATCCGTCTTACTTCAATTAGTTATGCCTCATTTATGTTCTCCGTACCAAAAAATGTTTTCCAACAGAAGTGCACAATTTTTCATCCCTTAAAACTCAAAACTTATTTCTTGTGCAATTTAGTCTTCTCCGAAGATGAGATAAGATCTCGAAACGTCAGAATGGAAGGAGTGATGAATATATATATATATATATATATATATATATATATATATATATAGTATATATATAGTATATAGTATATATATATATATATAGTATATAGTATATATATATATATATATATATATATATATATATATATATATATATATATATGGGCACTTGGCAAGGTTTAAGCAAGGACGTATACGAAAACGCATGTGTTCGTGAGCGTACGTGCACAAGTTCTTGGGTTCGTCTTGCCAGGCACTTCGGCCCCAAATCATCACGGTTCAGTGCGCCTTCTCGGCGGTAATGCTGTTTACAGCCGTCACTAAGTAGCTGTCACTTAAAAAGAATGTTCCACATTTGAAGATATTGAGATAGGCATCACATATGACAGGAAAAGCTTACTTGTAACTATTGGTAAGCT